TAAATTGATTTAATAATGCAAAGGTTTACAAACGCAAAATTGATCCAAAAATAAGTCGAAACAATAAAGTTGTATTTATAGTAAATTGAAATGAGAAAATCTATTTTTACTTGAAACTAAGAAAAGTCATTCTTTTAATGATTCTCATTGACTTTGCTTTTCAATGTTTAAAGTCACGAAGATGAACATTTTCATATTAATAGTCGACTCGATATCGAGTGAAAAATGGGAATCAAAAGTAATCTTTATCGATTTCCATTTCTTTCCCAATCCTGCTTCTGTAAACTTTTCTTTTCAATCATTTACATGTTTACAGAGGAACATTTTTTTCTCGAATTTTCATTTTTTCTCTTTCCCTTGTTTCGAACATGAAGAGTTTGGAAAATTTTTAAATTTCATTTTCTCTACTGGAAACTTATTCCAAATCAACATGACCTTTTGTCAACCTTTGGCAAATGTTGAAATATTCATTTTCCATTTACCAAGGAAATGATTATCAATTGAAAAGTGAAAATTGTTCAACAGGAAAGGTTGAAACAAATGAATATTTTCTCACCTTTTTTTTACTCTCTTTTCATGGCATTCCAATTGTCCTGGAATATAAGGTTCAACTTTATCTAGTCATTTAGAGGCTGAGGAAATATTTCATCAACAATGAAACAAAATGGTTGGAAACAATTGAAAAAGGAAATGAATTCGGAAATGAATAGAAAAAGAAGGGAGAAAAATGTTTACGTGGAAAGAAGATAAGTTTGGTTCAATATTCGCAAATGTTAATAGACTTGCGATTAGATAATTAAAAAGTTCATCGAGCTAAACTGCAATTGTTGTTATCAATCATTCATTTAATTGTGAACAAAATGTTTCATTTTTTGTATCCATTTTTCACATGAAATAAGTAAAAGTAAAAAGCTTCTTATAATGCACATAATAATCAAGTTTACATTGAAAATGTGCATTTGATTGACAAGTAATTTTCATGGAGCGAAGTAAAAAAAACGATTCGCCATTTTTTCACTTTTACCAAGCAAAATTGCTATTTTCAAATTGATAACTTGCATAAGATAAAATAATAATTACCAGCTTCCATCACATTTTCATCATGATAATGCATTTTCATAGTCAAATGGAAAATATTTTTCTCTGAATAAATGATAATCTATTGAAACATTGACGAAAAAATTTACATTTTCAGCAAAAAAATGTTTTCACTCTAATTAAACTCAATCATAACAGAAGGCAAATCATTTGGTTAATTATCTTGATGAAAGTTCAAATGAATAACTAGAAAATTTAAACAAAATTTACATTTCAAACTTTTAATGAAACATCGAAATTCAATCAAAACTAAAAAACTTGAAAAACTGAAATATTCAAGACTTTGTCGAAATCAAAAAAATGATTTTCTCAAATCTTCGATTCGCAATGAAAAATGGAATTTGATAAAATCTGAAATATCGGCTTTCGATGTAGTAAAATCTTTGAGTAACTAATTCATTCTGTACTTTTCTCATGAAGAAAATGATGAAACTCGGCCCATTTCAATCGCGAAAAGCGAAAGTGTTGAGTTCTAATTGGAACTTTAAAACATTTGAATTTGGTCGAAATTTAGCTGAACAATCAAACACAAGATGTTTTCGAAAATTTTCACTCGAAATGAAAATGTGTTTCGATGAATTTTGAATTCTTCTCGGTGCAATAGTCCTTTGGAATTTCTATTTTTTTAATTTTCTCATGAAAATAAAGTGAATGAATCTTGAAATTAATCAATTCATTTGAACGCGTGAACGTTTTTGTGATTAATTAAATTTTCGCGCAATAAAGTTGAACTTTTAATGATGAATTGCACTTTGGAAACATTACAGACAATAAAGTTCAATCTCACGTGAAATCTTTTATCAAATGTTGCCTGCTCAAGCCTGCATATTGGGCAGTAAATTTTGAATCAAATTTCCATTTCTATTCAAATAAACTTTCACCTTTCAACACATTTGAACGTGTTTCATTGTTTGCTCAAAATGAAATGCGATAATAATGAGAGAAGAAAAATTTAATTAAAAAAAAGTTTGCTCAAAATTTTCATTCAAATTTCATAATATAATGAAGAGAGAAAAAAATATTGCTCTCAGCATTTCGCTTTGAACCCTTTTTTGCTCTCAATAGAAAAGACTTTTTTTCTCATTGTTTCTTATTCCAAGCTAAATATATTCAAATTCATCATTTAAGGTTTTGGAATTGAGGGAAAAGAAAAGAACCTTTTCATGGTAATAAAAGTTATCATTCAACGAAAAGGGAATGAAACAAATTAATGATATTAATCTGACTGGGAGTGTTTTCCATCCATTTGTTTGTTCATCAGCATTTGTAATAAAAGAATAATTATCACAATAATGAATCTAAATGGTTATTATTCACCAAAAGAATGTAACCTTTTCCAATTGATATTCAACTTTCAACTTTTCTCATTCCATGGAAATGAGAAGTTCAACTTGATATTCACGTCAACAAAGGAATGATAAAGAATCGAGTTTCAAGGTTTCTCAGGTCTGAATCTGAATGGATAATCTGGTTCATTTGAATGAAAAGAAAAATGAGATATTTTCTCTTCTCTCATCATTATCATCTTTATTCACCTTATTTCACTTAACACATCAATGATTATAACCTATTCTATTCATGATAATTCATAAGAATGTTGTCAGATTTTCTTCTGCTTCTTGTTTCTTCTTCTTCTTCTTCTTCTTTTCATTTTCTTTATCAAAGGTTTCAAGGTATTCAGATGTTTTCTCTGCGATTTTTCTTTTTCTCCTCTTGTAACTTGACACATCCTGAATCAAGAAAGAGATGAAGAGATGAAGAAAATGATGGCAAGTTTCAATCACTCCCAGCTTTACCTTTTTCTCCTCTTTGATTCATGATGTGATTCAAGAAAATAAAAGGCAAATGTGAAGTATAACAAGGATGAGAAAAGGAAGATAAGTTGAAAGAAAAAAGATAAAGGTAAAGATTTCCAAAAGAGTAATAATGTTGTCTTTGTTTGTTGTTCATTCCAAATGGTAAACAATCAATATTGAATGAAAAATATTTATCATGAAAAGAAGCAAACAAAGTTGCCTAAAAAGCAACTATTTTTCAACGTCAGTCAACACTGAAACTTGAAAAAAACGAACGATTTTCATTCGAACTAAATACACTTTCAGCACGAAATTTTCAAAGAAAACTGAAAATGCCAATTTTCGTTGCTTCCCTGTTATTCATTGATTAGTAAAGAATTTTTGGCGAAAATTTTCCTCAATTTACTCAGCACTTTCGATGAAAATGTTCATGTTGATGGAAAAAGAGAAACTAAAAACTTTTATCTCTTCTAATTGCTGGAGTTTCGATCTTGGAAAATGTCGAATTTTTTGCAGTGAAAATCTTTGAATTAATGTCTTTTCATTCTGAAGAGCTTTTATTCGATATTTAATCTCTTCAGAATTTCGTTGTTTCAGTTTTTTTCATTTACTTTTTTTGCTCAAATTCATGTTAATCTTTACAGTTTAACGACTTTCACTTTATCAATTTTTATAACGGTTAGTAGAACAGAATTTTCAGAAAAATTCTTCGTTTTGGATAAATTGTGATTTGCAAGTAAATTGAATAAATTAGATTTGGAGGGTTATCATGAAGAGTAAAAAGCAATTTGCTTTTGTAACAAATTATAATTGAAATTTGATTTATGAAAAGTCTTGATTCTCTTTGCTCTCATAATTTTGTCAGATAAATTGAAACTTTGATGCGATTTTTTATCGTGTTTAAAGGTTTGACAAAAGAGCAAAAATTTGAGTAAATTGTTTTCTTGCAAGATTGAATAGTTTCTAGGCTGGAATTAAGATGAAGTTAATAGTTTACATCGAAGACAAAGTTTTTTTTCTTCTCGAGTTAAATCGATTGGATACAAAGTAATAAGTTGATGGAGAAGAAGAAAAGAGATTCAAAGTAGATGGATCAGTTGGATGATGATGATGATGATAGTTGAGATAAACGTTGAAAAGATGAGAGGCAATTTAACAGGCAGATAAAGTGTAATGGTTAGGATAAAATCTGAATAAAACGAAAATCATTAGAAGGAAAAAAAATGTAGCTCAGAATTGAAGGTTTCCTCTCATTGCGTTGCTCCTTCAATTGACATTAACATGTAAAGTAGCAGTTATATTGATTCCATTTTTGTGCTCGAAAGTGATTTCAACTTTTAATGCTCTTGGAATGACTTTATGTAATGATGATAAAAATATAATGATAATGATTAACTCGAGTAAAGATAATAAACTAAATCCAATTAACGAGTTTGGAAACGTTTCCATTGATAAACTTTTCTTGATACTTGTTCATTAGAAATGCACAATTATCAAAAGGTAAAAGTTGAAATTGGAAAAGCTGAGAATTTATTGCTCTTGGAAAATGAAAATTTTCCGAAATTGGCAATTTTCCATTTTCCAAGCAGAATGTTTCATGGAACATGAAAAAATGAGAATAAAATGTGCTTGGAATTTCGTCTATTCTATTGTGTTTGGAATTTTATATTTTGTAGCTTTTGCTTTAGCGACTTGAACATTGTTTCCATTCAAGTTGATTCAAGCTCAACTAATGTCCAGTGACAAAGAAATGAAGGAATGAAGATGAAATGATGAAAAGATGATGATGAGCATGAGGTGATTAGAAGGCAAAGGAAGAAAAATAATGATTTTTTTGGAAACAAGGATAAGTCTAGTGATGGAGATTAGGATTAATAAGATTGAAGGATGAGAGTAAAGATGAACAGATAGAAACATACAACATTCAAAGGAAACAGATAAATGGACAAAAATTGGTATGAAAAAGAGAGAGAAGAGAGAGAGAGAAAGGTTCATTTGGAATCATCTACTTTGGAATTGGGAATTTTTCCAACTATTTTTTTTCTTTTAGTTTTTTTCAGTTTAATCAATGTGTAGCTTGACTACTTGAGCATACTCGATACTCACCTTTGTTCAAAAGCACTCCAAAATTGACTGGTTTTTGTGTTAGTTTTTTTTATTATTTTTATCATTTGAAAGTTCATTATAATTTTCAAAATTTTTCAAGAAGAAAAGGATAAAAGAAAGAATTGATTAAGAAGTTGAAAGTTTTTTACATGGAATATCAGTCATGCTGGGAGTGAAAATAACGTTTCTTCTATTTTTTAACCTTTTCGTTTCTTCACTTTTTCGCTGTTGGTAACAAGTTAAACTCTAACCCAGGACTTGAATTTTCAATCGATATATCACAGAATGTTGATAACATAAGAATAACAAGCAACGATTAAAGGGTAAAGGAATTTTGGAGTTGATATTGAGCCATGTGAGAAGCATTTTGACCGAAAAACATTTTCAGGGGAAAAAATAATTTTAATGATTTTCTTTTTTTTCCTCAAAAATATTGAATTCTTTTTCATTTTAAATGTTTTAATATCAAAAGATTGATACTCTTGTATACATTTTATGCTTGCTCAACTCACGTTTGTCTTTTCATAGTTTTGTCTGATTCCAATTTCAATCTCAAGAGTATTAATATGATATTCAATGATGTTGATGCAAAGTTGGAAAATGGAAACTCGTATCAAATTCTGTAGCGAATCGTAGCAAACTGAGCAAATTGGAGGCAATAAAATGAATGAAATGCTTTGAAACTGATGCACATGAAGCATAATCTTTTGAGTTATTTCCTTATTATTGCAAGTTTAGAGTAAAATGTGAAATATTTCAATTTCATCTAACAAGCCACTATCAAGATTACGTTTTTTGTTCAACCCTGAAAAGCAAAAACACTTTACAGTTATTTGATTTTATCAGAGTAAATAACACAGAACTTGTAAATTCTCATTTATCATGAAGTTTCTTTGCAAGTTAAAGGTTCAATTTGAGAAGAAGAAAAAGTAAGATTTGAATATTTTTCTCCAAACATTAAACAGGTTTGGAATGATTAATTTGACTAAAGAGAAAAGTTGATTTTCCATGAAAATTGAATGAAATTAACAATTGCAGAGCTTTGGAAAAGCAGTGAAAGAGAAAAAAACATTTTGTCAAACGGACACTTGAATCGACCTATTGGGGATGTTTATCGACTTTTGTTTTTCCCATGTTCCATGAGAACAAAAAAAAGACTGAGTTTCAATCAATTAAACAAGTTGTTCTCGAGTGAATTGCGAGTTTCAACCTTTTTCCCTTTTCTTTCGTTTTACGCTAAATTGACTTGTCTTTGCTTCATTTGTTCATTGAACATTTTTTTTCATGCTACTTCATGGATTGTTCATTATGCTAATTTATAATGAGGGAAAATGAAAAAACCAGAAAAATTCAATTGAATGTAAAGAGAATGGAATTTTTGATTTGGCAAATTTTTTTCTTCTTCATTTCATTCTTTATCATAAACTCATCATTCTCTATTGTAATGAACCTCCAGGGCAAAAACAGTGTTTCATGTCATTTACTGGTTCAAATTAGGGAAAAGAAGAGAAAGAAAAAAAACGATTTAATCTATTATTCTTCAACAATGTTGATGAACCAACAAATGAACTTTTCTTCTCTCAATTCTGAATAATCCTTACCAATAATATCCTCAAGCAAAATGGAGAAACAAAATCTCTAATTGTTCGTCATGAAACATGGAAATTTACATGGAAATTAACATGGAAATGCTAAAAGATTATAATGAAAAGTTTCTTGACGGAAAAGGAATATTTGAAAAAAAAGAAAAAAAGAAGAAAAATGAAGAAAATACGAAACTCGAAATTCTCAATCTGATTGGAACATTTGTTTGCTCAAGTTATTCTAGAGACACTTTTTCCATTCTTGGTGATAAGGAAAAGAATGTCGAATTGGCTCAAGATTTCTTTTTAATTAATTGTATCTCAAGAAACAAGGTTCCATTGAATATCAGTCATTTACTGGATTCATTGCTATTCACTTTGTCCATTTATCTTTATAGTTTGACCGTTAAATCCGTCTTAATCCACAATTTGTTTTCCTTTTCTGCTTTTCCTTAGCTTCTGCAACTCAACATTTCTCTTCATCATTTTCTAATCAATTGTCCTTTTAACCAGCATTTCATGAGCAACTTCTTAATACCTTCAACTGATGATATTGATTAAACTTTCTTTCCTCATGTCTTTCATGGAAGCACCACTTTTCGCCTCTACAAACATATAAAGTGACATTTTGTTGCTTCCCTTATACCCTCACTAAATTGACCATTATGTTGACTTATGACCATGATTATCATCATTATTAGTATTATTATTGCCATTTTCATTATCATTCAATAAGAACATGGTAAATGCATGAGAAGCAGAAAAAAAGGAACAAGAAGAAGCTTTCCATTTATTGACTTTCTCAAATTTCATTGCTGTCAACATTTCGAGGCTTCTGCTTTTTTCACTACTTTAATGACATTTTATTGATTCTCAGGTTATCAAACGATTATTTTCATCTATTAAATGACAGTTAATCAACAGTTTTAGGTCAACGAAACTGGCCAAAAATCAAAGTTCAATTAAATTGATGGAAAAGACAAACTCGAAAAAGTTGCAATTCTTTTCAAATCATTCAGACGGATGACAAAAAAATCGAAAAAAAAGTTATTCAACTCTTTTCCACGAAAAAAATCTTTCGTTACCAAAATGCTTCTCAATGTACTTGTATGGCTCTGAGAAATTTGCGCAGTCGAACCTTTTCTCCATGAAATGAACAGAATTGAAAGCGAATTTTCTCTCTCTCTCTTTAGAAGTTCTCTCTTTTTCCATTTCAAAATAAAGGTGAAACAATTTCTTCTCAGTATTGGAAAGGTAAATCAAAAGGTGTTCATGAAAATGAGACGAAAATGGAGAAAACATTAAAATCTAAAAAAAGCATTTCTACAGTTTACAGGGAATGATCAATAACGTCGGCAGGGAAAAAGAAAGTTGAACGAAGAGGAAGAAAAACATGAAATTCATTCGTGAAAGCATGTTGAATGTGAGTAACAAATAGCTAACGATAAACACGAAATAAGGAAAGTTATCACAAGTTCTATCAATTTCTGTCCATTATCATATCGAATTGTTTTTTTTTGGTTAAATATCTTTTCTTTTCATTAATTGATTCAATGTAAACTGATTGATTCAAAATGTAATAATAATGATGGCGTGCCAAGATGTAATATAATCATGATGGAAAAAGATTAATTGACAGAACAGAAAAAATAAGTTCAGCTAAGTTCTTTTTCTTTTCATATTGATATTCACATAATTGGAATAAACGAACATCTGAAGGGGAAAAAATTGTTTTTTTGATATTCTCTTTGATCCAACTTGTTATTATTTAATGAAAAAAGGAGGAAAAAAATGAATCAATTCTTGTTTGTTATGAGAATTGGAAATTTTATCGATTATTCAAACTTGTTTTTTTCATTCAATTTCCAATATGAGCAATTATTCTCAATGAAGACTCGATATCATTTGAAAGAATTGAAGTGAAAAGAAGATATTTGTTGAAATGGGTCAATTTGATGCAAGAAAATAAGATTTGGGTGAGAAAATGCATTCTTTTTCCATCCATTGGAATTCGAGTTTGAATATCAGGGAAAACATATAATGGGAAAAGTGTGATTTTTACATATAATTGGAGTCAACAAAAGGTTCGAGGGTTTGGATTGGGAAGCGGCAAGGGAATTCTGGATTCTATCGGTTACTGAGCACAGTTGTCATGATTTACTGTTCAGCTAAAGAGAAGAATTTGGGAAAAAGAGTTTTTCGAAGAGAGAGAGAGAGAGAGATGAAATTCTAAGAAATGTTGAGATAATTCTGTCTTGATTAATGAATAAATTTGCTTTTGATTGAAACTGGCAAAAGAGTAAATTTATATATCGAAAAGAAAATTTAGCCTGGGTTGTTTTTCATGGAAACTAACTGAGTAACGAATTGAGGGACAAATTCAAGTTGGGAAAATGCTAAATTCTAATTGAATTTTTTCTCCTTCTTTGGAAGAGATTTGGTGAAATGTTTCAAGTGAAGATTGAGTTTGATTGAAAATGAGGCTTTTCAACTTTACATTTAATTCAAGGTGTAAAGAGGGTTTGAAACGAGAGAATAAAAAAAGGTGGCGAAAACATGAAGAAAACATGGTTGGTGGGTTGAGTGAGGAAGCGGGATTTGTTGAAGGATGTAATCAAGTGGAGTACAAAAGGTTAACATGAAGAGTTGAGGTGAGGAGAAACAGATTACATATAAGATGTTGAGACACATATAAGGTGAGGGAATGATGAACGGTGTGAATTGTTATGTTGAGGATAAAAGTAAATTCAGCTCAACCTGGAATTGTTCCAATGTTGAGTGGAAAATGTTAATTGTCCAATTTTTCGAGGAATCAAAGAGTCATGATAAACATCATGAGGGTAATAATCTTAATCTGATCAACTAAGCTGATTAACATTTGATATGGAAATGAAAAGATTTTGATTATCGATTGGAAAAGTTTTGTCCTAAATGTCGAGTCTTGCCAGCTGCCTGAAAGGGAAATTTTGAAACTTTTTTTTTCTTTTTTGTCGATTTTTTTCCATCAATTTTCGAAAACACTCAACTGGAACTATTTTTTTGTCGACACTCACTTCTGTCCAAAGTAAATTAACATTGACTAAAGGTTGAGGTTGGGCTTTACTTTGAGTGAAGTTTTATTAATAAAATGAGATTTTCATTTTTCATGGTTGACTTTAAAGATGACAAAGTAACAAAGTAAATGTTTAATGTTTGTAATAAAGTTTTTATCTCGACATTTTAACTGTTTAAAGTGAATTTCAATTTACTGCTCTTTTGCATTTGCTTTAATACTTTGATTTAGTGTTGGCAGTTTTTATGTTCAAAGGTTTGAGTCGACGAAAAATTTGACAATCAACTGAGAATGAAAAATAGATAAAATTGTTAAAGAATCTATTCATGACATTGGGATGAGGGAAAAGCGAAATTGAACAAACATGAAAAATTAATCTAAGACTGAATTTAGCAAATTAATGATGTAACTCTAGTGATTGAAAGTTGATCAAAAGTGAAATGTTTAGTTTTTTATGAGTTTTAGAAGAAAAATTCGGGGAAAAACAATGAGATGAGTTTTGGGGATTAAAGTTGAGGGTTTTGTGAAAAGTGAAATAAAATGAGATGAAATAGAAAAAGAATTTCTTCTTACCTTTCAGAGTAATCGTCACGATGAGCATAACTTTGAACGGAACCTTCTTCAATTAGAAATTTCATTTTCTGATAAAACGAGGCAGTCACTGAAGGAGGCGATTTTCGTAGTAAAATGTCCAATGGGTCAGGTGAACGGAGGCACATGAGGGAATCTTTACACTCTTCGGTAGAGCAACACTCGGAATCGGCACAGTCAATCAGTCCATCATGATCATTGTCAACATCATCGGCACAATTAGTTTCCAAAGGGTGTGAACAATCCTTGCCTGTCCAACCTTCACGACAAATGCATCGCCAAGTCAATTCACGGTCCATATCAGTGTCTGTTGAGAAGAGCAATGTGTTTAAGTTTAGATTTTAGTTGAAGTTGAAAAAAAGAGATTAATGTTTAGCTCACCTTTGGCACATAGACCATGGTTGGAACATCCATTGGCACATCCATTGAAGGTACAATGTTTACCCATCCAGCCTTCGACACAGACACACGTTCCATTGGAACATTGACCATGCTCAAGGCATCTTGGGTCACAAGAGAGCCGCTCACAGTTGGCACCTTCCCAGCCTGGATCACATACACATGAGCCTCCTTCACAGATGCCATGAGAGCCACAGTCTAGGTCACATTTGGCTATTGAACAGTCATCACCCAGCCAACCAGGGAAACAGGCACACTTTTCAAGATCCAAATCGTAGACACCGCGTGTGTTGCAGTGAGGGAAAAACTTGTTTAACCGATGATCTATTTGGGAACAGTTGACTCCTTTCCAGCCCATTTTACACCAACAAGTACCATCGATGCAAGCACCATGAGAGGAGCAACTAGGATCCAGACAGTCGGCAGTCTCACAGTTTTCACCCTTGAATCCAGGCAGACAATGGCAAACACCATTATTACACCGACCATGACCATTACAATCGGAAACTTCACAATCAGATGAACGAATGTTGCACTCGGATCCTTTCCAGCCAATTTCACAGTGACATCGACCACCAAGGAAACGACCATGACCACTACATAAAATTGGACAAACACCTAAACAAGAGAAAAGGCAAAAAATAAATTTGATTAAATTTCCGTTTCCTCTTTAAACTATCATTATCAATCAAAGGCAAAAAATTAAACTGATAAAGTCTTTGACAAGCCTTAATGATAAGATGATTTAATCAGGTAAAATGTCTACAAATTGAGTTAAGAGCAAACCTTTTTTTTGTTAATCTTAACAGTCAATTATCAAATGAATTTTAAATCATCACAATGATCTTTCTCACAAAATAATGATAATTTAATCACGATACATGAATCATGATCCATTTCATTCAGTAAGAAATCGTTTTTTATCTCATTTTCCTTTGAAACCAATCATGAATTATAATGAAATTTAGATGATAATTAGCATTGGGAAAACATTTTCAAAGCAAAGATGAAAATTGTCTCCATTATTATCGTTATCGATTAAACAGAATTTTCCGGAAAAGCGAATTTTACTTTCCAGAAAAAACTTTTCGAAACTTTTCCATTCAAAACTCACTCGTCTCACATTTCATTTTCCCATGAATTTTCAGTGAAACCTTTTTCAAAATTGATTCCAAGATGTGACCAAACACGAACATGGAAATTTTTACTTTTCCTCCATTTAAATTTCTCGATAAATATTGCTCAAGTATCAAGTAACCCTTTGTTCAAATTTCAATAAAAAAACGAATAAACTCATTAAAATTAATTTCATATTCACATTAGACTTTATTGAATTCGCATAAGGTTCAAATTAATGAATATTTCATTTGCCATGAAACAATATCATCAATATTATTCCTTTGAGTGGGAATAATGAAATGTAAAACATGAGCCCAACAAGACCAGTCATGAAAAGGAATTTTTTCATCATCTCAACAAGAGAGAAAAAAGTCATTACAGAACAATGTTTCGAATAATAAACAATATTGAACAAAAATCGAGTCTCATATTATTCTGCATTACACATCAGATGAAAAAATCAAGATAAATGTGATTATATTACATTGGTCAAACAGTGAGGTAGCATTGAATATAACAAATTGAGTACAAGATTGGTTGTCACAAGATAATGAAATGGACAAAAACAATGTAACCCAAAGTGTCTCATGTAATAAGCTCCAAAGTAGTTCAGTTGGCCCTTCCATTCACCCTCCTCTCAATAAAAGCAACTCATTTATCCTCATTTAGCCCATCAAGCCTGACTCATTCTCCATCAAAATTTACCATTTGACCAACAAGACGCCAAGAACCCAACTCATCAACCATAACATTAACCATTATGGTTAGACTCTTTACGGTTAAGACACTTGGTTGGGTTCGGCTAATCACACTGTAAATGGATTGTTATTCAAATTGGTAAACTTTTGGGTGTTTCGGGTTTAATGTTAATCAGTTTTGAGGAGCAAAACTTTTTCTGGTAAATAATATTACTGGTTATCCATTAATAACATTATTATCACTTGAATGTTGAAACATTTTGTTGACACTAAAATATCATTAAACTTATTAGCATTTTATTGAAGGCAAGAAGGAAAAGGAGAAAAAAAAATTGTTTCCAATGTTTCTCCATCTTCTTGTTCAATGGTCTCTGATCTGATTAATTTACACCAATGATTAATGATGAGGCTGATGATGAACATAATAATAATCATAAATGTTGCGCTTTTCATTACTTAACAGTTGAGGAAATAAAGACCCATCATGAACCCATTAATATTAAACATTATTTGGTTTTTCATTTCAGGGGAAAACACGGAATTGAATCTAATTGGTTAAAATGAAACCAAGTCCGAAGAGAGAGAGAGAGAAAGATTTGAATAATTATCATTTTCCTGGATAGTTTGTGTTTAAAAAAGATTAGTTGCTCATTAATTTGAGTAAAAACCATAATCGCCATTCCTGGTTTCACTGTTGGAATCAGTAAAGGTTAGAGGAAAATTCAATCAATGAACCTTATTACATGATCATGATTGAACAAATAGATGATTGTTATTCAGTGGAACAGAGTGAAGGAAAACCAGGGCAACTCAATGTCTCCATGAACATTGCATGTTGTTCCATGAAAGAGTAAATCTGTTCGGAATAACTTTTTTTCTTCTTCTTTCTCTCTTTGCTTCTCTTTTTTTGCTGTTACTGTCCAAGCTGATCATTTCATTTTCAATTAATTAGCAACTCAATTACGTGAAATTTTTACTCAAACATTGATTCTCATGATTGACCAAACTATTAATTATTGAATCACTCCAGTTTTCACCCTCTACATTTAGATTTGACAATAAACACAAATAATGAGATAAAGTTTCAACTGAAGAGAGTAGAGCAAACTGGGAGGTTGAAATCGTTTTGCATGAAGTAAAAGAGTGAAGAGAGAGAGAAAAAAAGACTTGAAAAGAGTTGTATTTACATGCATAACTAACAATAAACTGGGCGGTCAAACTCATCATCATTATGATTATCATTGCCTCAATTTTCAGTGTTGTTTTAATCATTTCATTTGTTTTGCATTCCAAACTCTTTTTTTTCCTTTTGACATCGTCACAGTGAATAATTAACATGAAATGCTCAATTCTGCCTTTCAAAATGCTAGAAATGGATTCATCTAAATTGTTAAGCCTACTTGACTCTGCTTAATGATGAAACAAAAAAAGTCAATTAGACAGAGAAAAGTGATAAACAGAAAAATATCAATTCAAACAGAATGCACAATAACCGGTAAAAGGTCATTTTATCGACCGAATCAACCGTTTTAAAAATAAACTTCACTTTAAAAGAAAATTTTTACTAAAAATGAGAAAATTTCATGTTCTGCTGAAGAGTTATTGTAAACTTATCCTGGGAATGACTGGGAAGTCATTTCTGATAAGAACTTCTATTCTTAGTTCTACTTGATGAGAGTATCAAAACTTGATTTTTTATAAAACTTTCGAGCTTCATTCATCTAAAAATCAACAATAACTTTGTATTTTATGGTTAATCTCACAAGTTGTGAGTTCATCTTTGATTGTCATAAATTTCACGATAAAAAGACAATTGTTTAGAATATTATTTCAGTGAAAAAGAATGCAAATATACTTGCAATGCCTGGAGAAGTTAAGAGGTGGAATTTGTTTTTCTTCGTTCGAAAAATCACGTTCTTGTTTTGCTAAATAAAGTCTATTGAATTTCTTATTGCATATTATTGCACAAATCTTGTAAGGAAATCCATAAAATCTCAGTTGAACAATACAACTGGAAATGTCTGTTTTCACTCAACTGTCTGGCTGGTTCAACTTTTAATCAGTCAATTGAAAAGTAATAAATATTCAAAAGTGGAAGCTTTCGTTTTGTCATTGCTGTACTAATCATTGAGCTGAAAGTTAACAAGGTTGCTTGAACAAACAAATGTTTCATGATTAACCAACCAATGCGAATCGGAATGAGTTTGATTAAGGTGGAGAGGTGGAGAGACAAGTTGATGACTGAGGAGAGGTTGAAATGTTTTTAAATGAAGTTGGGAGTTTTCAGGTTGTTTCTGGTTTAAATGGTTAGAGTGAGCGCAAAATGTAACAAAACTATCATTGAGATTGTCAGGTAAAACTTGAGGTTGACAACTTGCAGGTAAATTGAATGGGTGAAAAAACCAAACAGAAACATGGAACACGGCAAAATTCAAAATTTTGTGATTTCATTAGCATCTTCAATCTATCAAAATTGAAACCATTTACTTTCTCAAAACTGCAACTTTTCTGATGCAAAATTTTATTCAAACCAAAAGCTTCTCTTTATTAAACCAAAAGCTGATCAATTTATAACGACTTTTGATTGAAGATTAAATATTGATTCACTGAGAATTGGTCATTTGGTCAACATTAATCATTGCGAGTTTGAATTATGATTCACTTTAATGTGACCACGAAGAGTTGAGCAAAGAAGCATTTGGTTCATGATAACATATGCAACTGCAGCTGGAGCCAATAATGTTCATGAAAGGAAAAAAGGTTAAGAAGAAAAAGTCGAAAGATTCGAGGAAAAAGCTGGAATCACATTTTCTTTCAACTCAACCTTTTCCTTTCCATTAATTTGGTTCGATAACGTTTCACTTGTTTTTTCATTAAATATTGATTGTAAATCATCTCTTCTATTATACATTTGTTTTACCTTGAAAAACTTTGCTCAGGCAAAAGAAAAATGTATCAACAGCTAACAGAGAAAAGAAAAGAAACTCGCAAAATGAGATTAAATATTGTAACATTCAGCATGAACCATTAATGAAAAGAAAAAAAGTCGAATTTTCTCATGTTATTTCATGAAAAATGGAATCTTGTTTTTCACCTGATTCACAGTGTTTTATGTGATCACTCAATTTAGTTCTTTACACAAATGTATATAAAAAAGCATTTCGCTTTTTTCACCCAAAGTTCAATAAATCTCATCAATATTGATTGTAAAACTCATTCTCACTCATTTACTTTATTCATTATTTTTTATCTTTACCTTAATGGCTTTATACTTCATTACATCCAATGATTATGAATCGTCGTAAAACGGCTTTTCACTCTCATTATTAGTCTCCAAGTAATGATATAAAAGTTAATTATCCAGTTAAATTATTCATTACGAAAAGAGCAAAAAAAAGTTCTCTCAAATATTCGTCAGATTTGAAAATTATTGCTTTAATCGATTGCATTTTCTTTGCAAAATTTTCATCGATTCGAGTTCGGTTCAACTTTAAACTTTCCTTTCGTTTTCTTGTTCTTTGCATGCTATTCTCAAATGCTTTTCAAACTCAACAAATGGTCAATTGCGAATGAACCTTTTCTCTTCATTTCCGCCAATTTCATGAGCTTTTGTGATTTGCAGAAGAAAAAAACATAATGTTTGCGATAATAATGATTAAATGAATTCTTTCGACTGAAACTGAATGTTCACATTTTGTAAAGAAACAATTGTTCGGTGACAATTAACACTCTGACAAAAGAGTAACAAATAAAGGGTGAAAAAAGCAAATTATTTATTATATAAAATTGTATTGAGAGAGAGAACGAAATAAAACCCAAATCCATTGAAATAAACTCATCATGATACATAATATTTGCTGAGCTTTTTCTTTCTTTCTTCTTCTTTTTTCTCTGCTATTCTTTTCAGTTTCAGTTCATTTTATTTCTCCTTTTCTTTCAGATTATTCTTTGTCATTCACCTTTTTGCCAAAATTTTTCGCCTTCTTTTTCCTTCCTTTTTCTTTCTCTTTGTTTCTTTTCATTCTTATTTATCTTCCATTCTCTTACTGACAGTAATAGTGACTTTCATTCTTGGATCGATAACTTGCTGTTTCTGTCATCAACACTGAGGAAACAGTATTGATATCATTTCCATTGGAAACATTACTCATCCAAAGAGGAAAATAAGAAATGGAAAAGGATGAGAAGAAGAGTTGACTGAAGGAATTCAGAAGCTGATTCAAGTGTATATCCAGATAAATATCGCTGTTTGTGGCATAATATTCTTGTCTCTTATGTTTTAATCACCAATCTTATTGATTGATTAACTTGTCAATACATATTCACAACAAGATATTATCATTAATGTAACATGAATAGTTGGCAGCATCAATGTGTTGCTTTATTGATTTTTGACCTTTGAAAGATTTTCTCATTTCTACTAAACACAATGCAACAAAGTAGTGTAATCAGAATGGGTTAATCATATTTTCATGTTTACCCATGTTGATGCACCTTGATGTTTTGGTGCAAAACTTTTGCAAAGAACTTTTCATCCAAGTTTGCTTTTGATTTGACAAAAGTATTTGTATCAAGTTTTGATGAAAAGGTTTACTTACTGTCTACGCAATCATGGCCAATGAATCCAGGGAAACAAAGGCACTTTCCTTGGTGACATTTTCCATGGCCATTGCAGTTGTTTGGACATGAAGTTGGTATATCATCGGCTGAAGAAACATTTAAATCTAATGCAATTCCTTCATCGGCATCATTGACCAAAGTAATGTACCAAGTGCCCGGCTCAAGAAACTCCAACACTTCAGAGGATAACTCGTTTTTACCCATTGGTCGATCAGAGGTTCGCTTGTTTTTCACATGAACCGCTTTTGGACTGATAATCTCCATGTAATCATACCTGGTCAGTGTGGGTGGTTCAGTGCGACGGACAAAGAGAGCAAACCGTGACCAGATGGGAAGACTGAGGAACAAGAAGCGTACAAAAGTGGCTTTATTGTGGTGAATGAGTGAAGTCCAGGTTGAGTGTGGAGCCATTCGTTGAGTAATCAAAGTAAACTTATTAACCAATTTAATTTCAGTGTAAAGTGACATTTCTTGGGGAAGATTAACAAATGTCAATGGCAAAGCTCCGGGTTGACGAGACGAGGAAGATGAATAATCGGAACTTGATTCACTTGAGAGCCGGTCATCATTTCCTTTGACTGATTTGGAGGGTTTATTTTTATTACTATTGTTGGAGTTTAAGGATGAGGTTGAGGGTGAAGCAGATGAAATGGAAGTCGATGAAATTGATTTGTTAACAGTTGATGATCGTTGATTGTTACTCGTTGAACGTCCAATTCCCAGTGGATCATAGTTGTGAACCGATTGTCGACCCTCATTACCAGAAGATGAAGTTGCTAGAGAAGATAATTTATCCTGATTCGAAGATTCTTCAACAACTATGCAAGGTTTACCATCGTCTGGATTAAAGGTTGATGATTCTGTCGATGCTGAGGAAGAAAAGAACAAAATGCAAAATTTTAATGCAAAGGTAAACAAACTAATTATGAATACATGATCATTATTGTTCCATAAAGTATCATGAACATCATTATCATCATTAAAAGAAATGAAAAACTTTGTTTTCTTTTTTGGCAAACATTTTAATTAGTCAATCATTTGGATAGCATTAGAAGCAAAGGATTAAATGAAGAGTAAAATGGTAAAAAGATTATCATTATTATGGAATCGATATAATCTCATCTAATGGTTATTATCATGGAAATGAGAAGCAAAATGCAAAATCGAGTTTTAATCTTGACTTTTGGGTGAAACTTTAAGGCAACATTTTCTTTTCTTGTCTAAACTGAGAACGAAGAAAAGGTTGATTAAGCCACAGAAATGGTGAATACTAATTACTGGCAAGTTTTAAATTAACATTGACTGTTTGGGTTAATTAACAATTGATTAATTGCTAGTAAACTAAAGGTATATTCAATGAAGCGTAATGTACATCGTAATAATGGGTGAAGTTGAACAAGAGTTCAGTCGAGTTTAACATTTCTTCCTTTTCTTTGCCATTTAACCTTCTGTCCAATTGTATTGTTATTACAATTAAGTGTTTCAATCTTTTGCATACAACTTCTTTACTCAATTATCATTTCAAGTGTGAAAAGCTTTTCATTTCCAGTCTCACCTTTCCTTTTTACTCGATTTTACCTTTACAACTAACAGTTTAATCAGCATTTTCATGAGTAAAAAGGTTTTCTTTTCTTTTCATCTTGTTCCAATTAACTATCGAAAGAACATTCTCATCAGATATTTTATGACATTTCATTGAAAGTTATTGAAAAATAAAGTCTTTTCCTTTGCTGGTAACTCAACATTTGACAAGTTTTAATGGCTTATAAGGGTCAGTCAACTTTACTAGATTAATGTGTCAATAACGATTGAGATTATCAATGTTATTGGCAAGAACAAGCGAAATGAATTTAATAGCAAAATTTAAGGCTAAATGTTTTTTCCATTACTCCAACTCGAAATGATAAATTGTAAAGTTGATTTATACTAATTGCCGGTGCAACAAAGTTGAATAAACTCATGATTTTTCAATTTATTAATCAATCAATTTTCCATCGATAGTCAGAGAACTCCCTTAAAGAATCGAAGTGAAATTTAAAATTTTGTTCTTTGAAGGAAAATTGAAGCTTTCTTTTGCTAGTCATAGAACTTTATTGGCTCAATTTTACAGTTTATCTAAAGAAATTCAGTGTATTCTGCTTTTTGTTTTTATCATGTTATTGGAAAATGAAACTATTTTTGAAGCAGAAAAGGATAAACCATTTCTTTAGCTGCATTTTCGTATTTGTGTTTTGGTTCAACATTCAATTTTGTAGATTGCAAATCAGTCTTTTGTGTTTAAAGTAAAATAAAAGTTGAAGTCACGTTTGTACAACAATGAGATTGGCGGTTGTTTGACTGTAAAGGGCATTAAGTTTTATTGTAAACTTGCTCAAGTTAAGGACTTCGTTCATGCCCAGGTTTGTCTTTGAAACTGCATTAGGCAAAAATGAAATGCAAGTTTGTTACCTTTTCCAAATCTAAACATGACAAGATTGGGGAATTTCATTTCATTTCTTATTCACATTTTTTTCCTTTTTTCTCTTTCAGCCTCATGTTCTCCCTGAAGATGAAGATCAGATTTGCATACATTTGTATTTACATGCTAGTTTTGTAACTTTCAATTTCCACCCCAAACTTTTCCTCTTTACTCTCTCTTGTTAATTCATTTTGCTTTAACTTTTTTTTTCTTCTTCTTCGCTTTTCACCCTCTTTGCATTTCAATTTGCATCTGGAAAGGTAAACTTGTAATTCAGAGCGAAAAAGACTTGTAAGTCAATATGGAAGACAAATGAGGTAAAAAAGTTTATTATTTGGATAAAATATCTTTATTTGAATCGCAAAGAAACAAGTGAATTAGCGTATTTGCCTTGAGCATTGCAATTTGCAAATGCGAAGTAAAAAAAGGAAACCTAACAAACCCTGAAATTTCAGTTTAGAATCAATTTGGTTGAGCAAAGAAAAAAAACAACAGAAATCGAAGTTAAGATCAATTATGTAAACTATCGTTAAATTCAGTTATAGTAAGTTCATTGAAACAGAAAAATCGTAAGAACAAGAATGGAGTAAAAAAAGTTTCCACTTTTTAAACCATTCCGTTTTTACCTTTTACATGGCAATGCTCAAATTAGGTTAGTTCTGTAACAGTAAAAATGCTATTATGAACAAGTTAAAAGAAGATGAAAGCAATTTTTCAACACTTAGAGTCCAACAGAGATGAACTCGATTAATTTGCTTCTTTGATTGCATTCACACAAATGTTGCTCTTCAAATGAACTGGAAACACAAAATGAACATTTACACATTTGCCAACAGTTTTAATATTTTAATCTTGAATCAATTTCCAAATTGGATCAGCAATTGAATCAATCTGTCTGCTCGTTTTATGTTCACTTTAATGGTCCAGATTATTTATCCAACTATCAATTGAACCATTTGACCTTATTGTGATAATTTTTCTCTTCTCTTCACTCAACAAATCAATATTTATCCTTAGAGCTATAATTGTGATAAAGTTATTAATATAATAGCAAATTGGGTTTGGAGGTGAAAAGATTTATTAACTTGACCCGCAACAAGCATTAATGGATAAGCCAGAGTGTAAAGAATGCAATAACCAAATTCACATGTAATGCTGGCTACGGCAAAAAGTGTTATCAACTGTAATCTAACCTTTCCAATTTTGGTAATAATGAAAATATTGACCTTGATTTCGATTCGTTTCCCTACCCTTTAACCCTCAATTTAACATTGTACAACATTAGTGCATTTTGAGGCACAAAAGAGTAAATAAAGAGCGTAAAAGGGCATCAGTATTTAATATCTGTCGAATGCTGATGAACATTTACTGGTAAAAATAATAACATTTGTAAATAAACAATGTTGAACCTTTTTTTTCTTCCTTCTTCTTCTTTCAATTTTGGAGTAAATATTATACTGAAAGAGTCTAATGGAAAGCAAAAGTTTTTATCCAAGACTCATTTGTGGATAGGCTCGTAATAAGTCTCTAGAGGATATTTATAAATTTTTATTTCGACCCTGGGCGTTATATTATTGTTATCATTATTTTTATTATTTTCACTTAGACAGGGAACAAGATGCAATGGATGGAAATGTCGTGCAATGCTTTTGCTGTGTCTACTTTTATGGTTTGTGTCTGTGGATTAGAGGGAACCATTGAAAGATGAAGATGGCATAAGAAGAAAAGTCTATAATATTAATATATATCTTTGAGTTGTTTGATAATATAGCCAAGGGTATCATCATGAGATAGTTTTATATATTATTGTTGATACTAAGGGAAGACTGGGAGGTAAGCTGGGAGGGGGTTGGGAGTTGATTCTGCAAGATCACAGGGAAAGAGTATTGGGAGGGAATGCTGGGAGTATACACTGGGAGTGAAGATGAGAAGAGTAAAGATGAGTTTACAGAGAGAGAGAAGGATTAGGATTGTTCATGGTGAGAGGGAAAACGGACATGTTTTACTCATGATGTTGATGATGATAATGATGATTATTTTTTTTTGTCATTCTTCTATTGATTACTGATTCTACCTATTATTGTTTCTATTTTTTAGCTTTTCTCCTTTTTTGATACTGAAGGTTAATGAATCCAACACATGTGATAAATGGTCAGTTTCTGCTCATTTCAAAGTAACCTTTTGTAAAATGATACAGCTAAGGTCGACTAGATTCTCGAATAATTGGGTTTGCCTTTTTGAAATGATGCCATCAATGCCTGTTGATAGTCATTGGACATTGATATCATGATTCTATTGGTAAACTGAGTTATTCTTAAATTGTCATTTTCACCTTATTCTCTCTTATTGAATTGTTAATTTGATGGAGTTTCAATTGACATTGAACAGTGGTAAGCTGGTCTACACTGACCATTAATGGTGAGTGATAAAAGAGACAAAAAAGTGTTCATTAAATTATGATTCTCTGATTTAATCTTTCATTATTAATGTTATCTTGACATTATTAGATTTTTGGTGAAAATGATATTAATAATAAAAATGATAATATTGACAAGAAAAGATGAATGAAAGTGAGTGTAATGGGCAAATTGGAAATGTTGATTTTCATGGAGAAATATTTTCACATTTTAACGGTTCCCTGCCTTGAGGCAGCCTCTACTGAATCTCTACTTTCTGTAAATGGTTATTTCACTTTCTTACAATGTACGCTTCATTTATCCTGATTTGTGAGGAGTAAGAAGATGATGATGATGAAAGGGAGGAGAAAATGATGAGATGGAATGAGAATCATGAAAAGAAGAAAGAAAGATGATGACAATGAGAGAATGAAAATAATGAAAAGAAAAATAGTTAATTCTGTTGTCAATCAGGGTCAACTCAATTTATTGTTATTATTGTTCCAAATGATGGGACAAGACGTTCCCTTCCAATTACACTTTTCCTTCATCATATCGACCATTTCATCAGTAAAATGAATGCATCCAACAATGATGATAATGAGGATAATGACAAAAGCGAAAACTAAATTTACTTTTTCCCTTCATCATCTGTTATCATTGGGAGAAATTCAAACTTTATCATGAACATTGAATGTTTCGGTTGATGGTAAACTTTTTCTCATCTAAACTCACATAAATTGCTTTATTAAGTTGAACTTGTCTTGGTTAATTGATGGAAATTTGCAAAGAAATTAATTTCATGGTTTTGATTAATTGCAAGTAAAACCTTTTTTTGTTTCGTTCATGCTTCACTCTTGAATTGTTTACTGTAAAAGTGATCCTTTTCATTGCCAAGTTTAACTTGATATTCATTATTATGATTGATATTAAGAAATGTTTATTTTTATCTCTTCATCTCTACATTTAATATAACATGAAATGTTTAAATGTATTCAACTCTTTGTTTGACACTCATTTTTCACTTTGCCTTTTATCTTTGCCATTGCGCTTGAATGTATTAAAGTTGATGACAAATGAGGATGAGAGAGAGAGAGAAAAAGAGAGAGTGAATAAGATGGGAATGATTTTGGTGGGTGAGAGAAAATGATTTAGCTGATGAAGAGGAGAAAAGTATAAATTAGGTAAAAATGAGAGGAAGATGAAAGTGATGAGGTAAAATGTATTGGTGAAAAGATGCAGCTCATCTTGTCGAGTTTATTTTCTTCTTCTTCTTCATCTTCTTCTTCTTCTATTTGATGATGATGGTGAAGTGAGAATTGGTGAGATAGAAAATATAATCATTCTTGTACTGGTTAGGGTTGGGTGAAGTGAAACAGGAAGAGAGGGAAATGGAATGGATGATGATGGTGAAAATGAAGATAAAGCTGATTTAAGAGCCAAGGGAAGAGGGTGAAGAGAGTGAACGGGAAAAGTGATTTACAAGATGAAGATTGAGAGGCAAGAGAGACTAGAAAAGTTGGTCTTGAAGAGTCGATGGTTTAGCTCAAAATGAGTTTAAGTTAATGCAAGTAATGAAGGGGCTCAAGGTTGAAGCTGATACACTGTCTGGGTTCATCTTTGCTTGTACAACTTGGTCGGTTGATGTACATCAAAAGGCTTTCCTCTGACCTTTTCTCGGTAAATCTGTTGAAACTCTATTGATGGATTGAGATGTTTGAAAGATTGTAATGAACTGTTTCATTTTGTCATCAGTTATTGCAAGTGAATTAGCTTGAAATTAATTTGTTGAAGGGAAAATGTTTACTTTGTAAACTAATTGACAGCTAAATTTGCTTTATTAATACAACCTTTTTAGTGAGCCTTTAACATGATTCAGATTCTCTCTTTACAAGTTTCATTGAACTCGAGATAATTTTCATCATGAAATTGAATTTTGAATGATGATATTAGATTTTCTTTCTATTTGCAAGATTTGGAAATAACATTTTTTTTTAGTTTTCTGTCTAATGTGAAACTAATTTTGACTCTATTTGGAATCTGCTTGAAATGCTGATGAATTCAAAATGTTTATTAGTATTCAGTGAATGAATGGTTCATTGAACAGAAATGCTAAGAATTGCAACTCTAATTAGTTTCATGTTTTTGACAACAAAATGGTTAACAAGAGTTGAATGAGTAAAGAAGAAGAAGAAGATTTAATAAATGGTTGTTAAATTGAGAAAAGTTGAATCTCTGGTTGAATTGAATTCAATTTGGTGAGTCCAATTGTATAATTGTCTATGGTTTGGTGAGTTATGAAGGGAAACTTAAATAGATGAACAGAGAGGAAAAGAAAGTGGAGAAAAGAAAAGAAGATGAAAAGTGTGAGAAATGAAGAGTTTTCTTCTTTGCCTGTTATTTGAGATTCAGCAAATTTTGTTTTTGAAATTTTGATCTAAAAAGGAAAACATTTTTCTTCATGATGAATAAAATGAAAAGAATGGAAGAAAAAAAGAAAAGAAGAAGAAATGAAGTCTGAAAGAGAAGATGAAATATCTCATTGATAATGATGAGGCCTAACAAGAACAAATCAAATGATGACATTTGAGTGATAATGTTGATCTCATGATGATGATGATGATTATTCTGGAAAAGACACATTTTTCTGGTTTCATCTAAGTCGCTGCTTCTTTTGTTAATTAAAGTGTAACCTTGCTTGTGACAGAATTGGTGAATCTCTCTTCTCATCATCTTCAACTCCTCCTTTCTTCTTCTTCCATCATCTTTTTTTCCTTTACTAATCATTACTCTCTTCTCCATGTTCACCCTGTGACCTTACAAACTATGGAAAAAAACTATCAAATTACTCATGACATGGAAAACTGATTAAATTTTGGTAACAATTGTTATCATTTTTGCCCAAGGAAAGGCAATTAACAACCATTTACAGGTTGAACTGAATGAGATTAAATTAATTAATCAACCTTTTCCGATGGAATGAGATTTGGTGAAAAGAAAGTAATAAGTCATCAGAAAATTTGAATAGAAGGGGAAAAAAGTTGTTGATGAATTAATCAGAATTATACGTTTGGTGCAATATTTTTTCATGACAGATTATCATTGAGATGGGCTAATCAGAATAATTTGATTTTGCTGGTTGAACAGAAAATGTTGCGGAATGTTGAATAATGATGACTTTGAAACAAGAAGGATGATAATGATTATGATGTGATGATAAAGGGTGAAGAGTCAAGGGAAGAAGAAGAAACAGTTTTCATACTGAAATTACTTTCTTCTTCTTCTTCTTGGAATGAATAATGATTTATTAATCTTACCTTGTTTATAAGCAACTATCGAGAGCAAGGTAAGGCATAAAAGGACTAATAGTAGTGTAGCCATGCGCCACAAACAGGGTTGTCTTTCTGATGAGGAACAACCTTTACTCCAGTTGAGATTGAACCGGGAAACTCTGAGTGCTGCAAGGGCTGAAGAGGCTGCAGAAGAGTGTTGCTCTTGACCTGGATAACCGTGATGTCCAGCAGAGGAAAAGATAGAGTTTGTTCCATGGTTTGGCCGAAGTACCTGAGGTGGAGCATCACTAGACTCTAAGTGTTGAGACGGATGGACATGATTGGGAAGGGGAACCAATGGACCGGTTGTTGAGTTTTGAGCAGCCAGTTCTTGATAAATATTGCCCGGTGAGTGAGCCGAAGAAGATGAATTTACATTTAAATTATTTTGTCCACCAGAGATTCGCTGAGATCCATATAGATTGGTAATTTGATGGTAAGGAGGTGGTGCCTCTGGTACTGAACTTCCTCCTGAACCACTTGCAGGTAAACCTCGATGATGATCGTCCATTGATCGACCCAGTCGACCAAGAGTCGTTGAAACATCATCTTCATGTAAATGACTTTTGGGTTGTCCACCCAAAGTAGAAGTTACCATTTTATTGTTTCCCTCATTCCCTGGTTGACCCGATAAACCATATATTCGTAGCACTCGTTTATAAGAACCTGTTGACCTTGGCCTTGGATCTATTAGACTTGAACCTTGAAGAGTTCGACCCGAGTGGAGAGCATTTAAATCCTTTTCCGAGTCGGTTGTTATTGATCCATCATCTGAATCATTGTCAGACGAGGAGCCGCGATCATCTTGGTTCATCGGTGTGATACCGGTTCGACCATGATGTGGAATCGAAGTGTATTTACCAGCATTGGAAATGAGGGAACCTCCATGGTGAGGATGATGGTGACCTCTTGGTCGATTCATTAGTGTATTTGAAACTGAGGCCGGTGGAGCCGATTCACGTCGACGAAATGAACCATAATAGACACGACTCGAGTCAGGTTCACCGTCTAAACGTCCAGATGATCCAATCATATTGAAGTCGAAAAACTTTTTACACTATTCATAGAGGAAAATCACTTGAAATTGAGAAGAAGAGCAAAAAATTTTGTGCACTTTAATTTAAAATTATCATGAGAATAGAAAAATTCATTTGAAAATAAAAGTGTAAACAAAAGAGATTGAGGAAAAAGAGTAAATCAGATTCTCGTTGATATGGCGAAAGTTGAAAAGGTAATGTACAACCAATAATCGATAACTTTTTTTCCGTTGATAACTTCAATGTTGCTGGGAGTTGAGATTGACACGATAATATATAAAAAAATGAAATGAATTATTTTCTTCAACTTTTTTCTTCTCTTGATGATATTCACAATTTAGGCAGTGATTTGAAATGATTGTTGGTTTGTAATGTTGATATTGTTGCAAATGTTATCCACAGAAAATGAGTGTTGATATAATTCATTGATAAATACTGATAATTTGAAGAAGCTCTTAAAAAACAGCAAAATGCCGAATACTATTTACCAACGTGAAACATTTAGTTTGCAATATTTGAATAGAAAAAAAGAAAGAAAAGATAGAAAGATGTATTCACGAGTAGGAACCAGAGACTAAATGAGAAATGGTGAAAAAAAGAAAGAGAAAGATGATTGTGGAAGAAGAAGAAGAAAGAAGGAGAAGCAAAATGTGAGCTATTTTCTTGACAGAATCAACAAACCTCACTGTTATAAGAACCTTTATTCATCAAGAGAGAATAAATTTTGTTGGAAAAATCCATGGTTACCCTGGATTCGCCGTGGTTCACATTCATCATCATCTTCACTCCATTATCTTCCTTGCTGATGCTGTTGACCCAAAAGTTGGAAAGAAAGTAAAGGAAAGAGAAGCGAAAAAATCAATGAAAAGTTGAAAGATGTTGAGACTTGGAAATGCTCAATAAACTTTATAACCTTAAAAAAATTTGATTCACATTGTCTATTCTAGGAATGGTTATTTTTGTTGATTTAATTGGCAAAATTCTTACAGAGTTTAATCAGATTATTTACCACTTTTAATAATTGGATTAACAAATGATGGTCAAGCTTATCATTTATCGTGTCGACACTTTTCCCTCCCAGTTGAGCCAAATTTTGCATTCTTTTTCAATTCTTTCTCAGCAATTTATAAATTTGATAAAAAGACTAGAAAATTGTTGGTGAAAACTCAATCAACTGTGAAATGAAGGGAAATTAAAAGACTTTTATTTTTCATGATCGCCATTTTCATCAATCATAAAACACGAATGATTTGAAGAAATTTTTGCTTTGTTCGAACTAAAAGTTTTCTTTGTTCACTAATGGACTGGAATTGTCGAAACATAAAATGAACGAGATTGACCAGTGAACAGAATTGAAACTGATGAGGGTAAACAATTTACTTTCACGCTTCTCCTTGATTTACTCTTCTCGCCTACAAAAGTGCCAAACTATATAAACATTAATACAGTTGAGAGAGAAACAGGAAAATGAGAAGAGGAAAAAATGGTGAAAACAAGAGAAATCAATTGATGAAGGAATCCAATCCAGTGGAGCAATTCAGATGAATTTTGTCTGCATTTATTAAATTGTTGAGAAGACAATATATAGAGTTGAAACAAGAGCGCATAAAATTTACCTTAACATGAACAAGAGTGGGTGAGCTATAAAAATAGATGATGCAAGTGTAGGAATAAAGGTTAAAATTGGTTGTACGCTTTGCCCTCAATTCATCGGATCATTTAATAACAATTCCCTTTTGGTTCAATTTTTACTAAATCACGACAGGAATCTATCACTATGACGGAATAATTGTCCATGTTTTTACTCTTTTTTTTTGCTATTCGATAATGGTCGAAAGTAAATTGGCCAACATTTATCGAGCATTGAAACACCTTAGTTATTGCAAAGTTTATGATTTATTGAATAAAATGTATTCCAATGAAAATAATAAACTCTACTCATTGACTTTCAACGGTAGTAATTGATGTGACGGACATTATTGTTCCTCTTTACATTGTTATAAACCTTGTTGAATTGTACCTCCAAGTTGATAATGAGCTTGAATTAATCAACTTGGTACATTTGTCGGGTTGATTCAGCCAGCTAAAGTGCAATAGTTTATCAGATCAGGTTAAAAATCCTAGTTTAGCTTTCTTCTTGCTTTCTTGAACAATTCCAGTTCAAACAGGGATGTTTCCTGTTTTGAATCGACAGGTCATTTTGCTCTTCGATCACTTTCTCCATCATCTTCACAGTCAACATTACCATTTGATCTTTTCTCGTCCAGCATAATACCATCGAGTCTTGCCTTAATTAGCTCGGATTTCAGCTAATTAGCAATGAACATTTCACTCAACTTGGATCTTTCATTATAAATGTAAACTATTCTGGATACTCTATCAGGAGATATTTCCATCAACGGTTTCAAGTTGCCATCAAAATAAAGTGAGTAAGCAGAGTTACGAGCATGGCCTGGTGGCAAATATTGAAACTTGTAAAATCCAAGTGAAATAATTAAATTTGTTCGATGTTCATTTCGTCTTGGTGTTACCCGGACAGGTTGTGATCGACCAGAATCATCATAGCCATGCTTGATTGAGGTTGAATCAGGATATCGAACCTCTGAAAGAAGACCATTACGATCATAGAGGAAAGTTTTCGAAACCAAAAAGCCTTGTTGTCTAGGTCATTGTACGAAATAACACTTTAGCTATTAAAAGTTATTGGTTGAAATCGTTGCTGTGAAAATGAAAATGAAGCCAAAATATTATTGAATGTAAAGCAAAGGCTGCTACGAAAACGTTTTACTCGGGTTGTTTCAAAGGTAATTAAATGTTTAAAAGTTCAAATGAGTTGGATGGATAATAAGTTTTATGTAAAATGTGCGTCAGTCTGTTTTTAAACATTAAATGCGAATAGGCAAAGTAGATTGATTGAGTACCAGATTAATCATTTGAGCTAATAATTTGCTTTAGCGACACGAAAAGCTGCGTTAAACATGACAATAGAAACAGTAAAAGTTGCATCAAAGATATTTGTTTTCAACTTTGAAAGGACTCCTAGTGACAGCAAACGGCCTGTCTTTGAACTACCATTTTCGATAACTTAGCATCACCTCTACTCTCCTTTGTTGAAATCGATTCCAACCAAGCATAATAACGTTTAATCGTTGCTGTGAATTTTCAATTGCGCAAGTTGACTTTAAACATCATAATGAGGCAAATGTTTTCAATCAAATACTGAAAATAGTTTAAAGATAAATTTACTTCGAATAATCTATAGAAATCATTTAATACTTACTATCACAAAAACTCGAGTAGTCAAATTCAAAATTTTACCAATAGTAAATGCAATATCTGTTCTAGAAAGTCGATCTTCTAAATCAGTAACCTTGAAATCATTAAATTCAGTTTATTAAGTTTTCATCTTTTACCAAGAAACCAAATATTACCTTTATGAAGGCTTGCACATTCAATTGTAAATGTCTAGTTGCTTTCCTTAGATTCTTGCAGCAAGAGTGCATCTAAAAGTAGTTAAATAGAAACATTATTATTGAATGGAAACATTGAAAAATCATTTTATACCTTTGACAACATGACTCCATTGGTGTATGAGCAAACTCCAATTACTACAAAGCCAATCATAACAATGTTGACAATGAAAAAATCCATGAGTCCGCGATCAATATGAACGAAAACGGCAGCATAAATTCCGAAATTGTCAACAAAGGAAATTCCAAGATAAGCGACTATGAATAAGTTTCTAATGCCAACATTTACTTGTTCGATTTCATTCTGATATCGAATAATCTCACGAACAGTAGCTTTGTAATCAAGCAAATAGCTGGCGTTATTTGATTGCAATCTTTTCAGTGCAAGATTCTGTACAGTTCGGGCTACATGAGCAACTTTAAAGTAAAAGTAACACAATTTAATTGTAATTAGACTACCAATTAATATCGCATTGGTCATGACCCAAACGAATCCAAGATATGTGATGATGAGCCAAAAGCCACTGAAAATATACTGTTCCAATGTTTGCGGTAATTGAGACACTGAATGAAAAATGAAGATTAAAATTGGTGCGAAACTAATTGTAGCACAAAATATTATCCTAACCCAAAAAATTGCTAAATTCGTGACGAAAAAACGCAATTTTCGGCAATAGAATTGATCCATGCATAAAAGTTGACTCTTGAATCCCTTTGAATATATCAATTCAAACTTGAAAGATGTTGAGTGACCATCCCTAGCCAGATATATCCAAACGCGTCTTAATGCTTCCCCAAAAATAGATCCGTTCAAAAAGAAGAGCCAAAAGAAACGACCATTCGGATGACCGTGGAAAAAGTCACCAAGAAGATGATGCCATTCAACGGGTAGATCGAAGCTACTCAACAATATCAAGTGGATGATATTAACGGCCATTAAACTTGAATAAAGGATGGATTTTGTTATAGTCAACTTTGACTGTGTTGCTTTTGGATCTCGTGAAAATTGAATTGGTAATATATTGTATGTAGTGCATATCGATTCCAGTTGCTTTAAATATTTGACTGCTATAGCATCATCAACATCACTCCAGTGAACTCCAATCACAAACCGAACCAATTTCAATACAATCTCCGTGTGATTGTGTTTAGCTCTTGGTATGACCTTTTTTTGTAACCGCACTGCAATTTTGCAGAATTCAAAACTCAAAAATCGTAAAAAACGTACGAAAAACATGTTAATAAAATTTAAAATATATGCTCTTCAAAAGATCAACTGTTTTTAAGGAAAAATTATTTATGTTGTTTTCAAGAAAAGGCAACATCGATAAATGAGTAGCAGAACCGCTGAATCTTTCTTTTAAATTGTATTTCAGTGATAATTGCCTGATAAATCTAGTTCTTCGAATTACTTTCATAATGAAAACACAGCGGGCAATAGTAAACAATCAACTAATTAATAAAATAAGAAGTTGCTTAAAAATGAGATTTTAACTTATCAATAATTAATTATTTCCTTTATTACTTATATTGATGTGCATTGATCGATTCATGAATGTGAAGTGAAGAAAATGTGCAATAACGATGCTCAATTGTTTCAAGTGTTTGTTTTCAACAGCATCATGGACATTAATTGATCAAAATCAAAATGTAAGTTGAATCAATTTCGACATACATGTAATTCAAAACTCAAGATTGCCTGTAAGTTATTCAATTCAAGGGCGAATTTTAATTGTAAATTGGCTTTGAATTGTGTCAATTCCCAACAATAATAATGTTGCCCAGTGGATTTATTGATGACTCTAGACAAGTTTAAATTAATTAAATGTAGTTTAAAATGAATTTCAAGTTAAAAGTTCAATATTTTATGATTTTTTTCAGATTAAGTTGTTTACTCATTGAAAATTTATAAATGGCAATCATGCTGAGCAACAAAGAGTAAGAAGAGAGTTAACTTCAATGGAAAAAAGGCATCCAAAAAGTTGAAAAGTCACCCCTAGATGACGCTGAAGGAAGAAATCCAAGTGTTTTTCAATGTAAATGCACATTTTAGTTCAGGCACATCACCACTGCATGGCTCTGTTCGCTGTATTTTACATTGAAAACACTTGATTTCTTCCTTCAGCGCCATC